AGAATTAAGCTTTTAACTGCTAATTGAAAGATTAGCAATTAGAACCCACCAGCAGGAGGAAGACCTGGTGATCTGGTTCTGCAACTATTATAGCAGAGAAAAAGCTCTAGGGGCATTTATACTCTGTTGAAAACGACTTGCTGGTCCACAGAAGTATCTAGTCAATAGTATTTACAAGTCAGTATATTGCTATATAATAAAAAAAATATATATGTAAGATAATTATTTCTTATAGAACTAATCAGGAATTGATAGAATTTTTAGTTTGTTAATAATTGGTAGCCTTGTAAATGCCTTTCTTTAGGAAAAAATACAATTTCCATTGTGAACTGCCTTCCCGAACCTATAGCAGAACTTTACTGACATTGCTGCTGATGTCAATGTGTTATAGAGTTTTATCATTTAGACACTCAGAACATGTAAATGATACACTGCTATAAAGGGTAAAATACATATTGATTTGAAGTTTTACAAGCTGTAGTTGAAAGTTGGTTCATTTAAGCAGTTTTATCAATTTGTCTTTTGTCTTAATCTATAAGTTTTATGCCATATTTGGTAATTGGCCTTTCCTTTTGTGACTTTTTGTTTCAACGGTTATCACAATAATGTTTTGTTGTAAAAATTACAGAATTCTGTTTCAGCTTATTTATTTTTCTGTACAAATGATTAATTGAGCAAACTAACATTAGTTTTTTTTAATAATTAAATCATTTTATTGGGGACTTGTACAACTCTTTTTTTATAAAATCATTTTATTAGGGGCTCATACAACTCTTATCACAATCCACACCTACATCCATCCTACATCCACTCCTGTACATTTGTTTCCCTCATTATTCTCAAAACATGTGCTTTCTACTTGAGCTTTTAGTATCCGCTCCTCATTTTTCCCCTCCCTCCCCACTTCCCCCTCCCCATACCCTTGATAATTTATAACTTATTATTATTTTGTCATATCTTATACCGTCCAACATCTCCCTTCACTCACTTCTCCGCTGTCTGTCCCCCAGGTAGGAGGTTATATGTATATCCTTGTAATCTGTTCCCCCTTTCTCCCTCACCTTTCTTCCACCCTCCCAAACATTAGTTGTTTTTTTTTAATCTCCTTTTTTACAGAGGAAAAACTTAGACAATTGGATTAATTGTTTCAATGTAGTAGTTATTTCATATTAATTTTAATATAATAAATGTTCACTTGGTTCCACTTGCTTGCTCAGCCATATGATCATTGAATGCACACATATGTCTGTTTTGTTCCCTGTGGTCTCTTCAGTGCCTAATACCTGAGCCTGGCACTGGTAGGCACTCTCAAGAATTGTTGTGAACCAATTGAGCAGAGGTATAACCTGGAAATGTACTTCTTCTTTAAGAAGAATTTATTGTATTGAAATGTATGTAATAAAGCTCTTAAACTATTTTATGCGTACCATTATGTGACATTAATGGCATTTACTAGGCTGTACAGGAATCACATCTGTATAAAAAATTTTTTTATCACCCTTAAAAACCGTGTACCTCTTAAGCAATCCTCCACTATTTCCTCTCCCTCCTTCCCAGATAGTAGCTTCTGTGCAGTTGTCTCTTCTGAATATTTCACTAAGTAGGATCATGCAATTATCATCCTTTTGTGCTGATCAGGAAATGTACTTTTTATGGTAATGTAAATATTATATCATTAAACTTTTAATGTTTGCTTTATATCACATATACATCTGATAATAAATTTAAAACCAATTTTAGATTTTAGGTAACAGTCCATGAGGAATAGTTATAGAAACTTATTTTCATTCCCAGTACTTGTACTTCCCTCATCCTTGTCCCTTACTCTCCTCTCTTGCTTCCTTTCAGCCTCCCCTCAGTCTGTGTTCCCTTTCCTAAAACTGTGCTTTTTGTTGTTGTTATTGTTCTCCATTAGTATCTGGAGTCCATCTCTCCCCAGCTTCTCCTGAGATTGTACTGGACCATGATTGCTCGGCACCTTCTGTTGGCCGTCTCTCTTCTGATTCCATCCTTTCATTACCAGAGAATTCTCTTGCAGAGAACAGCATTGTCAGTCAAACTGTTGGACAGGTAAGGACAAAAATATACTTTTTAAGGACATTGTTAATGGATTGAATTTTGTCCTCCCCAAATATCTGTCAACTTGGTTAGGTCATAACTGCCAGTATTAAGGAACAATCCTCCATTTTGTGATCTTATATAATCCTTCTGTGTGTTGTAAATTCTAATCACTATGTTAATGAGGATTAGTGGCATTTAGTGAGGTGTTTAGTATGAAAGCTACAGGATTATGTAGTATCTTGGTTCCACCTCTTTTGAGATTAAAAAGAGATTAAATCAGAGGGACCCCAGTATCACCAAGAAAGAAGATATGGGAGCAGAGCCTCTCCTTTGCACTCAGGATCCCGGTGCTGTGAACCTCCTGGACCCAGAGGAAGATTAATGGTAAGACATGTGGACTCTCCAAGGGACCTCAGCCCCATAGATACTGGAAGGAGACAATGATTTTTGCTCCGAGTCAACCTATGTAGAGAACAAGTCTTTCCTAGAGCTACTACCCTGAATTTGGACTTCTAATTTCTAAGCTCTGAGAGAATACATGTCTGTTTAGTATTTCTATTATAGCCGCACGGGATACCTCGGGCAAGCATTTTCATATTAAAGAAAACTCCAAACTATTTTTGTTTTATAAAGCATTTTTGATTTTGTAAAGGAAGTGTTTCTGCATTAGTCATTTTAGTTATAAAGTTAATGCCTAGAAACACTAAACTACAGCTATTCTTTGCTTCTGAGACAATTTGTAATTTATTTAACTATCTGTAGTTACCAAAGTATGATTGCGATATTTCATTATTTAATTTATTAAAGTTGACTTAATTTAGATTTCAAATTTTGAACTTCAAAAAAAGGGTAATAATTTTCAAAATGGCTCTTTTTATTAGAGAATCTTATGGTATTTCAATTTTAGAGTAAAGAGAAAAAGACAGTAGTTCTTAGGATGTATTTATATGAACATTTATTTCCATCGGGGCCTAACTAAAATCTGAGATTAATGTTTTCAAATGACATGGATATGAAGCAAACTAAGCAAAATACAAACCAGTTTAATAATGGAATGTTTGCGTACTAACACATCACTTTAAAGGGTATATTTTTTAGGCATCAAAAGAGAAATATTTTGTGGTCACATTTATATGAGGGAGCTTCAAAATGTTTGTGGGAATTTTACATAATATTAACTTCTATTTTCCTTCAATGTGTTGATGCCTCCTCATCTGAATAGGTACGTGCTAAGTTCTAGAGCCACGTTCAGATTTGTAAAGCGATGGTCACATTTTTAGGTCTTCTAAACATTTGTAGGTCATCCACACATTTTTAGGCCATCTACTTTCTTTGCTATCCTCATGAATAGCAGCAGAACATTGTTAGAGATTGTGCCAGAAGACGAGGCTCTCAGGATGGAGGACAGTAAAGAAAATGAGAAGATCTGCCGCTCAAGATAAAGTGGACCATAATGCCGTGGACGAAGTGAAGTCTTCAGGAGTAAGGCCATTGGGACCTTTGTTTGCTCAGTGGACTTGACTCAAAATGAAAAGAAACAGCTGAAAACATCTATTAATAACTGGAGCTTAGAACATGTGAAATATAAATTTAGGAAAACTGGAAGTTGTCAAAATGAAATGGAATGGGCCAAGATCAATATTCTAGGTGTTAGTGAGCTGAAATGGACTGGTATTGGCCATTTTGATTGAGAAAATCATCCTTGATGAAGCTGGGAATTACAGATTCAAGATGCATTGGCATTGTCTTAATGTCCACTAGTTCACCTTTCTCATTTTTAATATCCATTATTATGGCTACAGAGGTGCCCCAGACAAAATTCATGATAAAAGGGTTTATTAAGGAAGTTTACTAGTTGTAATGCCAGTGAGACATGCTAAAGGTTGAGTTGTTTACCAGGAGTGTTATAAAGTTCTGTTAAGTCTGCTACTGAATGCCCAAAGGGCAAACCACTCTGCTACAAGCCTCAACACTACTGCACTCAGTGTAAGCTCCTTGAGTCAGCACACCCAGATCCCTAACGAGTGCCCAGAGGGACCCCATTCCAGTAAACCTATGCCCAAAGGCACTCCGCTCCACTTCTGTGGGTCAGCAAGCTCAGCTTCCTGAATTAAATCCAGAGACACTCCACTCTGCAAGCCAGCCTCCTGCACCAAAGCACTGGACGTTACTGGCTCAGTGAGCTGGGAAGGCCATCATGCCTGCTCCATGCTCTGGCTCTTGGTTCTGCCGCTGTTCCTCGGATGGTGGAATATCAGGTTCAGAAGATGCACTCCACTCCTGGCTCATGCTGGTAATGAGACCCATTCCTCCTGTTTTTCAGAGGGCTCATTTTATACACAATAGGATGGCACTTTAGAGAATCTTGCTCCCAGTTACTCACAGGTGACTCCTGTCAGTACATTCTTCCATCTTCTTACCAGACCCATACAGGAAAAGGTTGTTTGGTGAGAGTTAGAGATTTTGGTTAGGGAAGCCACATTAAATAATTCACTGCCTCTGCAGTATTTATCCTTAAAAAGAATTTTTGAAGTTTGATCTTGAACTACGATGCTGTCTGTGGTAGGATAATGCCTATCTGTATACAAGTAAATCTACTCATTCTATGATAACAATAACTATAATTCATACTTTTACACCAACCACTAAAAGCAGTGATGCAGAAATTGAATTCTACTCACATCTTCAGTCTGACATTGATCAAACATGCAATCAAAGATGCAGTGATGATTATTGGTAATTGGAATGCAAAAGATGGAAACAAACAGGAAGGAAGAGCAATTGGAAATTTGGCTTTGGTGAGAGAAAGGAAACTGAACATGGCATGATAATTTTTGCAAAACAATTCCTTCTTTGCAAATACTTTCTTTTTACAACACAAAAGTGACTAAATATGTGGGCTTCCTCTAGGTGGAATACATAGAAATCAAACTGACTGCATCTGGGGAAGAGAAAGCCGAGAAGCTCAAAATCAGCAGCTAAAAGGAGGCCAAGCACCAATTGTGGAACAGACCACCTGTGACTCATATGCAAGTTCATGTTGAAGCTGAGGAAAATGAACACAAATTCAGAGGAACCAAAATACCAGGGGGTACTAAAAATATAAAACAAACTGGAATGATTTTTTTAAAAAACTATGTATTTAATTTTTTTTTTTTTTACAAAACAACCATATCACCTTCAAATTACACTTAATACATCTGTCAAATCTCTGATTCCATTCTTGGAAACAACTTTCAAACTCACCTGTTTGGATGGCTCTTCTACATTGTCAAATTGCTGTCCTTCATGCCCCTCTTCAATTGAGGAAACAAAAAGAAGTCGCAGGGAATGAGGTCAGGTGAGTAAAGTGCATGGAACAAGAGAGGCATGCTGATTTTGCCAAAAATTGGTACACTGAGATGGCTGTGTGAGCAAGTGCATTATTTTGGTGGAAAACCAGTCCCCTGTGTCTGCCACAATCCAGCCTTTTTTTGGTTGTACACTGTTAAGCAATCTTTTCAGACCTCTAAGTAGAAAGCTTGAGTAACAGTCTGACCTGGTTTAATGCACTATGAGTTGACATTTTTGTTTGTTTGGGAAGTTGATGGATGTCCAGAATGAGGTTTGTCATCAAAGGACATTTCAACTTATTTGAGTTTTTCCCATAGCGCTGTTCTTGTAAACTGTGTTCAACATTAAAACAGTTTCTGTGGCATTTTCCTTGAGCAGGAAACAGCCGCACGCTCTTCTCTTAAATCGTCCCCCACAAACAAAACAAGGTTTGAGCAAAACTGCTTTTATGAAAAAATTCAATGTGGCCACAGTGAACCTTCGTAGGTGATGCCACGGGATGCACTAACTCAGAGGGAGTTGTTTGATGCTCACTTACCGGGAAAAATGTGTCCTACGAAAGCTTCACCCAGCGGAACTCTTTTCTGTTTTTTGGGGGGGCACCCCCTCTCATATGATCTTGAGTCAAAATATGGTCGTGAGTGTTTCTCACCTGAATTTTGAGAACAGTTCAAGATCAGATTAAATGCATTGAACACAGAAGACCTGATGAGCTGTGGGAGGACATGAAAACATCACACATGGAGCAAGCAACAGGTCGTTAAGAAGACAGGAAAGATAGAAAAGATCAAAGTAGATGTCAGAAGAGACTCAAACTTACTCTTAATTGTGCAGTAATTAAGACAAACGAAAGAAATGATGTAGTAGAAGAGCTGAACAGAATATTTTAAAGGGCAGCTTGAGAATATGAATTAAAATGTTATAATGTAATGTACCAAGTCCTGAGTCAGAAAAACCAAAAAAAGGAAGAACACCCTCATCATATCTTAAGCTGAGAGAACTCAAGCACACATTCAACACTCAGTTTTAATACTGGAAGATTCTGTGGACAAAATGTTGAATGATGCCAGAAGCATCAAAGGATGATGGAAAAAATACATAGACACTGTACCAAAAGTAACTAGTTGTCATTCAGCCATTTCCCTAGGTAGCCTAAGGCTAACACCAATGGAACTAAAGGGAGCCGCTCCTGATGGCATTAGCAAGAACACAGTTCTGTGAGTTGATGGAATAGCAAGAAGCTGACGAAGTTCTCCATCTATGCCAAGACATTTGGAAGATTGCTGTTTGGTTAACTGAGTGGAAGAGATCCATATTTGTACTCACTGCAAAGAAAGGTGACCTCACAGATTTTGGAAATTATAGAGCAATATCATTAATATCACATCCCCAGTAAATTTTTCTGGGGATCATTCAACAGTGGTTGCATCAGTACAATAACAAGGAGCTAGCAGAGGTTTAGGACAGATTCAGAAGGAGATGTGGAACAAGGAATAGCATTGCTGATGTCAGGTGGATGTTGGCTGAAAGCTGAGAATACCAGAAAACAATTGTTGATCAATTAGTGTTCGTCAATAAATTTCCAATTTAAAATATAAGGATATTTCTCTTTGTGTGTAAAATCAAGAACTAGTACCAGATGTGTCTACACCTAAATTGCACTTTCAATCATAAGAAACAATTTAAATTTTTAGTGCTATGCTAGCCAGATCATAAATTGTTTAGACTATGAAATAGAAGAAATTTTGTTTCTTCCTACAAAGATCAGGTTGTAAGTTTGAGGTCTTCTGTTGATTTACTTACAGGGTGAAATAATTTCAGAACCTTTGCTACAAGTTAATTTCCAAATGTGGTTTCTTATGCCCTTTGGATGTTTTCATTATTGCTACAGTGTAAACTTTTCCCTCTTGTCTTTTTCTTTTTTTCCCTCTTAATGTGGTTTAGATTCAGCAATCAACACACACTCATTTGGATATCTCACTTTTTCCATTGGGTTTAACTGATGAGAAAAGTAATGGAACAATTGCACTTGCGGATGATTCTGAGGCTCATGGAGCCAATATATCAAACATCCAGCTTCAGCAGAAAATTTCAAGCCTGGAGATTAAACTCAAAGTTTCTGAAGAAGAAAAACAGAGAATTAAAAAGGTTTGCTTACATTTGCTTTAAAAACAAATACTTGAATTGCCTTATACCGAGAATTAGATGTAATTTAAAACTCTGATTAAAACCTCATCAGAGAAAGAAGATGAGATTTTCCTTGACCTTACATTTAAATCAGTTACATGAGTTTATCATATAACAGTTTTGAAAAAAAACGGAAATAGTTCATACAGAAATAGATGTGACGTATTTGAGAGTAATAGTAAGTACTAGTAGTTATTCTAATTTTCCTTCTAAAGTGGAAAATGTTTCATGAATTAATTTTGGAATTGGAGGGACAAGTAGTCTTCAGACCTCTAACGGGGCCACCAAAGTTAGAATGTGATGTTTTTTTCACCCTGTCGTTTTATTAGACCAATTGAGTGCCATTAAAATAACTTTTTTTTTTTTAAATAACTTATTTTATGCGATAAGAATAACCTTTGTTTTTTAGATTTCGTTAGACTGCTCTAACTGATGATTGCTGTCTCGTTTATTTTTATTTATCATCTCTATTATGACAGCAGACAGTATTGTATTTCTTATGCAGACTAGAAGTATTACAATAATAAATTCTTTATGTAATTTAATGTATTGAACATCAGGCATCATGGGACATTTGACTGGATTCTTAAATTTACAGTTGTTTTAAGAAATTATTGTAATCTGAAGTCTAAGGGTGGTATAATATCAGAGCCTAAATTGTGAGAATCTGGCTTGCAGGAGGCTATGGATGATAGTTGGAATATAGGATACATTTGTGGAATTTACATCTGCATTAAGCCTACAGTGGGAGGGATGGGAGGAAAGTGGTAGCTAAATGGCGTGCATCAGAGAGATGACTATAGAAGATCAAAAGTGGATCCCCACCTCTGATGCAGGTTAGGCCTGATCTGGTTTTCAACAGTTTTTTCTTTTTTTTTGTTTGTACATATTGGAGTTGATCTCAGATATGTTATGTTATTGGGGATCACCTTGAATTTTTGTTTTATATACATATATTTTATTTTTTAAAATTATTTAAAAAATATATTTAAATATATGATAAATGACCATATATTTATTATTTAAAAAAAATATATTTTTTTTTCTGTTTCTCAGTGTACAAAACCCAGGATTGACGAACCTATAGGGACAGCAAGTAGAATAAGAGTTTCTGGGGTTCAGTGGTGTGGGGGGCTGGTAAACGGGAGATGATGTCAGGAAGTTCAGGAAGGAAAAGAATATTTTAAAATTGTGGTAGCAATTGTACAATACTGTTTAATGTGATTGAACTATGGCATAATATGATGTCTGAATTAACTCCCAATAAAACGGTTTTGAGAAAAAAAAAGAAAAGCAGAAAATAATAAAAAAGAAATAATTTTAATTCTGTGATATTATTTGCTTATAAATTTATCTCTTAAGAAAGTTTATAGAAAGTATGTATAAGAATATAGATTGAAATTAACCAGAATGTTCATATTCATTTATTGGTATACTTTTAGCATTACCTCAAAATTTCGATACTCGTCTAGAAGTTGTAATATTATTGGACTTTAAACCATACTTTCTATGGTTTCATTTTCTGCCAGATATTTTCTGGCATGTTTAATGAAAATAAAATTAAACATATTGTATGCCATTAAATTGGTGCTAAGTTTATGCTTGACATTTACTTTTAGGATGTGGAAGCATTAATGGACAGGAACAGTGTCTTAGAAAAAGGCTTCTTAAAAGAAAAAGAGCAAGAGGCCATTTCTTTTCAAGATAGATACAAAGAACTTCAGGTAAGCCAATGGTATTAACATAGAAAATGTGTACCTTTGCATCCAACCTTTAGTGTAGTTTCAGAAGTCATCAGTCCTTTGTCTGTGCTGTACTTTTCTCACTTATTCCTAGTTGATATTTATTTTGACTTGTTTATTATTTATCTCCCGTACTACCTTACCTCTTGAATTAAGCTTCGTGAGTTTAGAAAATTTATATTTCTTCTTGCCTAGAGGCATACCTGGCTTGTAGGAAGTACTCAGTGGATAGGATTGAAAGACTGCCTTACTAGATAAATAATACACATTATAATGTGTACATCCAGACTTCCCAGTCCTATTAATGGAATTATGGTGCTTGCTAAGGGCACATGACCGATTATTGAGAGAAATTTGTATATTTTTTGCTCCTATTGGATGACTTATTTTGGGTAATTTAATAAGACATTTTCTTTTTTAAATATAGTTTTTCTATATGTTATAGGAATAATAGTACACCAGGGACACCATGAACGATCTGGCATATAGCACTTTGAGCCTTCTGTTATAAAGACCAATATTAATGCCAGCTACATTATATTGCTGTCCTCCTTGGTTTACTATCAATAGCTGAAATCTAAGACAGATGATTTTCATTCTCAGAACATCACTGCCATCCAGTCCAGCCTGACTTTTGGTGACCTTATATAGGGTTTTCGAGACTACAAATTTTTACGAGAGTAGACACTCTTATCTTTCTCCCGGAGTGACTGGTGAGTTTGTACTACTGACCTTGTGGTTAAGAAACCCAATGCCAGTTCAAAAATCTCTTCCTCTTAAAAGAAATTTCCAAAGAAAAAAAATTAGAAGAGTTTACTGAAGTATATAGTGGGTCTTTTTATAGTAGGGGGATAAGAGTGTAAACTAACTATGGAGTATTTTATTACTTTGTTGATTAAGTGGTTTGAAAGGTGCTGTGAGGTCTCATAATCAAATTTAATTCACTGGCAGAGAGGAGTTTTAACTAATGTGTCTGCATCACTTCTTAGGAAATGCTCTTTTTGTTATAGCTCCACAGGTCTTTGAAGTTCTGTTCTTTTCTTTTTTTTCTCCCCTCCGCACCCCTTTTTAGTGTATTTTATCTCTGTTGTTCAGATTGCATAATATTTGTTGTTGTATTTTAGTATGATATCTTGGATCTCCTTTAAATGTTGTGTATAAGCAAGCTTCTTCTGACACTTCACTGGTTAGGGAAAGGAGCGTGCACTTTGTTTTTCTCAAGTTGGGGTGAAATCCCAAGGTTCACTCTTTTTGATACTGTAAGGAAGACAGGGTGTCTTGTTGGGAGGAGGTAGGATTTGGGCCTCTCCATATGCCGTAATTAACAGCACACTGGCTTGGGGGAGAGGCACGTTGTAACTGTTTACCCACGTGTCTGTACCGAGGCCATTGGGGCAGGGGGATTCCAGGGTCCTACCTCTGGTTGGTGCTTAAAGTTGTGACTTCCTCCTCAGCCTCTTCTGGCATAGGCAGGGACTGGAATGGACCCTCCTTACATTTTTGTGGAATGAAATTCCTGACTTCCCACCTGTTTGTTTTTTTCTTTCCTGATAATTCAGGGGACAGCCAGGCCCTCTGGTATCTGGGTGAAGGTGGGCGTCTAGGCGGTGCACTTGGCCTTTGCTGGGAGGGTGTAGGTGTGTGCTTTCCCCCGGGTGTTTGGTTGGCACAGGTCACTTATTATCTAACACTTCTTTGTCTCTCATTAGGTCGCATCTTTTTCAGTCCTCTGCTTTGAGAGAGGATGCTTTTTTTGAGCTGTTATGTCTGTACCACTGGCATTTCCAGTTGTCTGTCGCTGTCACTGATCGGGCAGGAGAGCTGAGAAAGACAACTCACAAAACTCTGTTGTTCATTCCTCAGATGCCTCAGTGGGTCGGTTTTCTCTCCACCGTCCATAGTATTTTATGTTTGTTTCAAATACAATATCCGGGCCTGTTAGCTATGCTCAGTGAGGAAAATAAGGAAGACAAATTCTTCCCTGCCATTTTGGAAGAAGTGGAATCAAAAGTTACAGTTTTCATTTTCAGTGTCCTTTGCTTAGTTACACTTATAAATTGCTTTTAAACTTAAAACTTACTAATCTAAGTAATTTGAGGGTTGTTTTTCTTTTAGGGGAAAATATTAAGAAATAATTTCTAGGATCTCAGAAGAATGAGTAATCTAACTGTTAACTCAAAATTGGAGATAATCCAAAAATCTTTTAAGTTTAAATTTTTGCTTACCTATGAAGTGTGCATACATATGTGTATGTGTTAGACATTTTCAAAATGTCAACAAAAATATATAACCTGTGTTGTTAGATATGTAGTAAAAGAGACCAATGTATGCTAAATACATGTAGGATACACTATATTGGTCAATACTTGAATAGTGATTATGTTAGACTTAATGCTTAGAAATGTATTCTGCCAATCATCCCTCAAATACTTGAGTGTGAATGCATCTGTCATAATATTCTGCAAAGTATGACAATCCAGATATTTTTATATTAAGGTATTTAACATGTAATCACTGCTGTCAAGTTGATTCCAATTCATAATGACCTTATCACATAGAGTAGAACTGCCCCTTAGGCTTTCAGACGCTGTAAAGCTGTATAAAAACAGACAGCCTCTTCTTTCTACCAAAGAGCAGCTTGTGAGTTCAAAACACCAACCTCTTGACTAGCAGTTGAGTACCGGTACTTAAACATTGCAGAAGCAAGGACCCTTGCTAACATATAGATTCTCTAAATATTTGTGAGGCTTAATGAAGTAGAAAATATTTTCTGTTACTATGATTACAGGGATAATGTGCAAATGGTTTCAAAAAGTTTGGGAAAATTGAATGTAAAGATAGTGAAATTTTCCACAAATTTTTGAAGTTCCCTTGTATTTTGTGTTTGCTTCTTTTTGCTATTCTCAATAAAGCAAAATTTATCAGGATATATAATCATTCCAGCAAGACTAAACTAAATTACCTGAGAAGATGTTCTCATTAAGAAATGTTAATTTACATATATTTTAATAATATTGTTGTGGAAAATGAGGACAATACAAAATACACAGAAGAAAGCAAAAATCATACCCATTCACCTTGAAAGAGCTTAAGTATTATACCCTCATTTCAAAATAAAGGGCCTTGAAATTTTAATGTTTTTAAAGAAATATACCCCACTTAGCCCAGTGTTAGGTGTGCCTTTGTCAAGATTTTTGTCTGACTAGAGAAAGAGAATTTAATAAATGGAACGTTTGTACAACCTTTAAACAACCTTCCCCACCCCCCACCCCCAGCAACATGTTGTACTCCTATAGAGAATTCTAGCTGTGTTGTTTTATGCGATAAGGTCTAATTACCAGGATAGGTGGAGTGGTGTGAATGTGCCCTAACAAGGAAATAACGAATACTGTGAACTCCACAGTACAAATGAGGGTGTGCACTGCCTCTCCTTTTCCTGCTCTGTCCAGGGTGTGTAGCCCAAGCAGAGGAAGAAAAATTAGTCATGCTGCATTTGTCAGAGATACTATTTAAAGGACCTTTATATGACATGTTTAGAGAACTCATGTCAGTGCAATTTGGACTCCACACCTTTTTGTCTTTCTCTGATTCCCTTAGCAGGCTGGTCAGCTCCCATGACCAGTACAAAGTAAAGACACTTGTCAGTGTATCAGATTTTACAGGTTGTAATGCTGCAACATTAAAATAAACTAGTGACCAGATACAAGTAGTTATTGAGGTGTTATTTCTGACAGTTGTCAATATTGGTAGCTGTTGTTAGCTTTGGGAATTTTCTAGATAACGTTTTTAAAGACTAGGCTTGCCCTTCCAAAGAACACTCCCTACTGAAAGGCCTTCTGGTTATAAAAGCTTGATTACTCTGTTTGGAAATTTAATTTTAAAAAGGAGTAAATACTATTAGTCAAATGAAATATTTCAGAGGTTCATATGTTTACCCCACAAATGGACTTAGATTGTTTCTAATTGCCACTTGTGTTGTATGGCTAATTACACAGCTGATAATACTTAACTGTCAGTAGCTATAATCGTTAATATTTTGTATACTATTTAAAATGGGAAATCGTTAGCTATTGGACATTTGGGAGCTTTGTCAGATGTAACTGTTACAACAATATTTGATGTTAAGGGTAGAGAAGAACCTGATAACACTTAGTATTTAAAAATGTTATGGCCTGGTGTAGGTTGTGTAGCAACCCAAAATGTCGTTTGGTGACTTACACAGGAATGAAGGAGACTGCTGAAGGAAATTCTAATGAATCATAGCCTGAAGACATTACTTTTATTCATCTATCGTTAATCTTGATTAATTATACTTTGAAGAGAAAAAATGGAATCAAAGGAGAACAAACTGTATTTTGGTTAGGCTAAAATATTTATGACTTCCTTTTATTATTATAGTTCAAGTTGGATTAGTCATTGTAAAATGAATATATTTCAGTTATTAGGACATCAGTTCTCTTTACCTTATGAAAAGTGGGTGATTGTGAGATACACATATTTCTTTCTTTTTATTCCCTTCCTCCTTCCATATTTTATTATTCTAAAGTTAGTGGAATGATTTAATCACCAAATTCAGAGGTTATATACTATTTGTTACACCTCTTTGTCAGTTCTATTAGAACAATAAGCATGGTCATAAGAGGCATTTATACTGGTTAATTTAAAGCAATACATTTTTGTATTCTAGACAAATTGATGAAAGCAAACTGCTCAAATTATTTATATATAAAAATACTCTTTGAATATATTTTGCCTAATTTTTTACTGTTACACCTTTCTTATAAATTAGATAGCCTTAGTTCCCTCACTCTTTGCCATCCAGTCGATGCTGACTCATAGAGACTCTGTAGGACAGCAGAGAACTGTCCCTGTGAGTTTTGAGACTGTAACTCTGTCTGTGAGTAGAAAGCCCGTCTTTCTCCCTTGGAGCGGTTGGTGGTTTCTGCCCTGGCAGTTAGCAATCCAATCTGTAACCACTATGC